CCCCAAAACCCCAAAACCCCAAAACCCCAAAACCCCATAAACTATAATTTAAATTGACAGTCATATTTAATATTTCATGTCATCTAAAGCTCCAGGTGGTAATAATAAGACAGACTTGAGAAGTAGCTTCCATTCTTCGAAGTATTCAGGCCATGGAAATCGGAGACAGCATCCATCTCGCGATGGAAATGCTTATGGGCCTAGTAAGTTTCGACTCCTTTTCTCTCTTTTATTATTAGTCCCCCTTATTAAAATTGATTAATAAATAGACATTAATAGCCATGCTCCTAAGTTACAAGTTGGAGGAGTTAAAATGAGAGAGCGAAAGAAAGGTCCTAATCCTCTCAGAGTCATCAGTCAGAACAAAATAAAAGAATCTAATCAATACGAGCAAGAGGAAAAGAATCTGAGAAACTTCCCTAAGCGTAAGATAAGCAAACGTGCTCCTCGGGCAGGGTCTTTAGTAAGAAGGAATATTAGAGAAAAAGGCAACCAACTGCTTGATTCTTATAATAATGGCCCCCAAAATGGACGCAATAATGCTGCTGTGGTCAATGATGATTTTTCAAACAGTTTTATCGAAGGAAAATCTTTTTCCAATAATCCTAAGCTGCCATCTTTTATTGAAAAACCTCAAAGTAAGGGAAAAGTGCTAGAAGGTTCAGGAGATTCTGACATAAACGAAGTTGCTAGAAAAATTCAAGATCTGGATGCGAATTCGAAGATACTTGACTTCCAAAACAAGAATATATCAGCACCATCGATAGGCCCTTATCCTATTGGAAGTAATAACAATGATCCCACCGTCACGATGAGGTCAATTTCTGAAGCAAATGAAGATATTGATAAATAAGCTCAAACAGAAGAGGTATGTCCAAGAATTAGAAGAACAAATAAGACTTCGAGATAAGATCAAAAATGAAGAAGAAGACAAACGAAATAAGAAATACAAAGTCTACCAACCAGAAATAGGAACTCTAAACCAGGAAGTGAAGTCTATTCACAGCCCAGTGAGACAAGTTACCGAAGAAGTGTGTGCATCTCCAACCCAGGTTGAAGTTACTAAGGATAGAAGAGGCCTAGGGTCTGCTCCAAAGGCAGTTGCTACTACTATAATGACCTCTACAATCACAGGTGACCCTTTTGGGGGTAATATACCCACCAGAAAGAAAATAGAGAACAGAATTGACCAAGAACTTGAATCTAGAGGGAGCATATTTAGTGGTAGAGATGAGAAATCTGTGCTGATTCAAAAACGAAACTTGCAACAACAACACATGAGAGAAGAACTTCTCCGTCAAATCGAAGAGAAGAAAATGAGAGAAGAACAAGTTAAGAAAAAGCAAATGGAAGAAGACATGAAGGAAGAGTTCAGGATTAAGAAAGAACTTCAACAATTAGAGAAAGATGGAGACAATGCTCTTGGATCTATCGGTGGACTAACAATGAAATAAAACTGTCAGTGAAACAATTCCCAAAACATCTAGCTATCTACCTGAGCTACAGGATAGGAGCAGTGAGCCTATGAAGCCAACTCAGGTTGAAGAGAGTAAAGGAGAAGCTCCTAATTCTTCAGATGATCAACACCATTTTGAAACTACGGCTGCTTTTGCTACATATAAGGAGCAAACAAGGAAGAATGCAGAACAGATGAAGGAGAAGGATGAATATCCTCAAAATCCTTTCAGCTCTGCTATAGTCAATGAGACTAATAAGATCAAAAATATGATAGAACAAGTAGATAACAAAAAAGAGCTCCAGAATCAGATTAGCAAGAAGATGGATTTAAAATCCAAGCCAGCTGCAACTACTGATGAAAGTCCTATCTCTCATGGCCCTATAGTTGGGAACACAAAGATCGGTGAACTCTCAGAAATAGTTCAACAACTCTTGGAAGACCAGAGAAATCTCAAGTCCAAGCTTAATGAGAGGGATGAGATCATTGCTGATCTAAGTAAACATAGAGAAAATCAACGTAAGAATACTCAGGATAAGGAAAGGCGCTCGAGGTCACAAAAACCTGTCAACAGTAAGAAAATTGGATCAGCAGATAATACAACAAATGCTGCTAGAAAACTTAGAGAAAAGCACACTAAAGAGAAAGAGAGGATTAGTGCAATCGAAAGCAAGATTGTTAAAGCTAGACAGAGGAAAGCTGAATTTAGCAAAGGTACAGCAGTAAAGGCTAATAAAGTTGGTGGATTTGGCAAGCAGTATCATAAGAATAGACCTAATAGCGATTTTGATCCCAAATTATACAAAAAGAAAAATAGTGATCTTGATGGCATTCAAGATAAAAATAGGTAAGTTGAGGTAAAATCAATGATATAGTGCTTCGAATCAAAATCTAAAGGAACTAAATGTATGAAAAGCTCGGGCTATAGAAAGTCCTGGATATAGTCTCTCTTCCAAAATTGACGAACTCCACACTCAGAGTAGATCAAAGCGGTCTAACAATGAAAATGGGAATAATTCAAAAGGACCACTTAATGGTCAACGAGTAGATAGATTCTCAAATAATCACCTTTATGAAGAAGATCATGAAATTGAAGATAACTTCAATGAAGATAATTTTATCTTCTCTCTTCCTCCTGATGACGATGATAACTACTCCTCTTACTCATTACTAGGAGGAAATGTTGTCCAAAGAACTCCTCTAACCGAATTCGATATCGCTGCTTCAGAAGGAGGCGATCAAATTGATCTTCTGATGAATGGCTACAATCGTCAGCCTGTCAGAGCTAATATGAATAGTATTCCTATATCTGATCTCACTACAAGCATGGGAGTGGGGTATTCTCCTCATGTTAAAAATGTCTACTTTGTGAACAAGGATGACAATGCTAGTGGAGTTATTCAGTCGGGTAATTATCCTTCTAATAACTATCCAAGCCGTGGCCAAGCTGATGTGTATTATACATCAGGCCCATCTACCAATTATAATTATCAAGGGTATGTGAACCAGAACTATCCAGAGGCTGTTCCCAAAGCTGTTTCTCAAAGCAAAGGAAGACAGTTGAGCTCTAATGCTATGGCTGGGAAGATGATCACTAGCAATAAAAATGGCACTGAGAGATCATTTGGTAATTATAACCAATAATTTTCTAATCTAACAATGACCTTCCAATTCTCATACGTTCTAAAGGGGTTTTGGGGTTTTGGGGTTTTGGGGTTTTGGGG